TTGATGTTCTTACATAGATGGGGATACGGATGTGGATTTGGTATATCATGATTTTCAGAAAACGTTTTACAAGGTGCCACATAAAAGGCTTGTTAAAAACTTTATCTCAATTTGTATGAGGAATTGGTGACTCATTGGATAGAAAACTGGCTAGATGTAAGAAAGGTGAGGTTTTATCTAAAGAAATATTGAATACAAGTCTAAAGAGGTTATAATGTTATTATACAGGTTATTGGTTAGGCCACATTCGTAGTACTGTATTCAGTCTTGGACTCCTTATCTTAGAAAGAAGGTTTAATTGTTGGAAATGGTTCAAAAGAGGGCTACCAAGCTGATACCTGAGATGGAAATTTTGTCATATGAGGATAGGGTAACATCTCTGAACTTTATTTTTCTTGAAAAAAAAGGCAGGGTTAGAGGGGATTTGACTGAGGTGTAGAAACTTGACAGTGTTGATGCATCATTTTTATCGTATTTAATGGTGAGAATGATAAGGTGTAATTAGACATATATAGATTTTGGCAGCTTAGAAGTCATCTTAAGCCGAGATAGCTATATTTGTATAACAAGGTGGTTGGCCTTTGGAAAGGATTGGGTTAAGATGTGGTAGATGTAGTTAGTTTAAGGAAGCTTAAGGGAAAGCTTGATAAATATTTGAACGATAAGAGCTGGCTTTGAGTGTTTTGGTGTTTAGTTTAATTTAGTGGATAGGACGACCTAGATGGACCAAAGGTCCCTTGTTATCCTTTAATGTAATGATAAAGGATCCAAAAAAAAAAATAGAAAAAGATAAAGAATGACATCTGAAAAATACCAGACACTTTCTGGATAACTAATTGTTGTCGATTGATAAGATGGTGATATGCAAAAGCTTATTAAAATAACTTAATAAAAATAAACAAATATTTTAATAAGAAAACTAGATCCGGTAGATCAGATAGGCTTTCAAGTAGTTCGCGAGGGTATGGGTTTATAACACGAATTTATCTCATATGAATCTTGCTAGAAGACAGATATACTTTATCTATTTTATCACGGTCTACCTTCCGGATACATCTCAAATCTCATTCGGCTACAGTGGGCTTGTGTGTCTTTCGTTTACTTTATTATGATTTATGGAACTTACATTCACGTAAAGTCGATGGCATGTAAAAAAGTTTGTCGAGATTTTGAGTCTAACACAGACCTATCCGTTTTTTGCAGAAGCCAGTTGAAAAAGATGGGCATAATGAGAGCCATATAATTAACGAATATCGATGATGTAGTTTGAAGATTAACATGCGACTTTGAGCATTGTATTTATAAAGTGCAATTAACCCACAGAATTATATTATATACATCCACAAAGTGAGCAAAATCGAATTCTGATCCCGACTGGAAAACTGGACAATCTCAGATACTCCTTTGAAACACTAAAAAGGTCAAACGCTTTTTTGCTGTGAAGATTGTACTTAGCTAGAATCTACAGCAAGCATATTCCCCTTGTTTTGTGCCATATCTTCAGCGAAACCACAGCCAAGGGAACGGGCTTGGAAAAATCAGCGGGAGTCCGGGCTTTAAAATAGATATATTTACAGCATTGGATCATTTTTCTCAGTCAATATAATAAGTTATATTATATTGCTGTGTCCATTCTTTCATTTCAGGCTAAAGCCATTTCTTTCTCTAGTATTGTATCATATTTCTCATCTGTTACAGCAAGTTTAGGTATATAATATTTATTTTGCTCTTTACTGCCACTCAAAACCTGCATTACAAAATACATCGTTAATAGTTTGTCTTTCTTATTTTAGACGTTTCAAGCTCATGGACTTACAACGCTAAAATCTGGGGTTCGATTTCCCGTCGTTAGCACAGCAGATAGCTCATTGTGGCTTTGTTCTAATACAGGCAAACTTTAAGACTTTTTTTTTGGCTTTACTCTGGGACTATTACTTTGTTGAGTAATAAAAATAATCACATTTTTAGATCTGTTGAAATAGTTAGAAGTTGTGTCATTATTGAAACCATTTTGGAGAGAGCCTAATGGCAATGTACAAGTACAAATGTCAGTTCAAAGTTAATTTTGACCTCTTGTGTTTGCTCCTTGATAAGGACCATGTTGATGTTTTATATCGTTGTTATGTTTATACACGGAGCAGAAAATAATGCCATGATAAAAGAGTAATCGAACAAGAGATTCAGTTAAGAGCTTTATTGAGCTTGAGAATGTTTATGCAATACCTACTAGAACAACACCTAAAGATAATATTAAGTACGATTTAAACTGATTGCACCACAGTTTAGTTTATTACTAGATCGTGTTATAGTTTATTAATATATACAATGCTTTTGATCAACATGTTAGGGAGCCCTTTTTATACTTAGGGATATATTATAAAGATATGGGTCATCTCTGTTTGTAGAAACTACACTGACTTTGGACTTTTTGAAATTATAAGCTACATTTGTAATGTTTTCCTAAAACCTAAACTCTCCAATTTCTCTACCCTAAAAACTTCATTCAACACTACTTGTAGACATGAAATGCTATCCGGGCCAGTGATCCTAAGTATCTTATTAATCAGTGTTTGAATCGCTCTCCAAACACTTGAACATAAATAAGCCTTCTTCATTGTTTTTAGCAACTAATCCAAGTACTGTATTCTTTATTGTTTGTAGATACTGACGTTTATAAAACTACATTCGTAACTACTTGTAGAAACTAATCTGAGTACTGTATTATTTAATGCTTAAAGAAACTAAACTCTTTAAAGACTGCATTCTGCTTAAAGTATGTAGATAAACAAAACGACGATTTTTGACACAATGAAACATAAAGCTTTCTAGTTACTTAAACCAACCAGATTCGGTTCAACGGTTATCATTATCATTGCTGTGAGTATAGTGTTTACATAGCCTATTTTTAAACTCTCACCATTAGACGGAGACGTTTAATTGAAGTAACAAGTGATGGGGGAGTAATTAACAATATTCTGACAGAATTATCAAAAGAAACAAATATTCCGCAAAACCTTTTGTTGTCAACATACCTCCACTCTATGGTTCCAACCATCATTTAAGCCAAAAATTGTGTTTTAGACATACTCTTGACGTGCTATTAATATTCTGATGTAACAGATATATATATATAAGAAAAAATATATTTTAAAGCAGTGGCGATGAATAGAATGTGTGATCCTTTAGTTGTTGACAAAACTTTACAGAAAACAACAATAAAAACACCTACAGGTGAAATACTCTGAATCAGCCCCGTTAGAATCATCTCAAAATAAGTTTATCAGTAGATGGTGTTTATTCGAACAAAGTAACATGTAATGTTTACATCAAGGAAACATTTGAAAGTTAAATAATTCTGAAATCTTTTGGAAAAATATGTCAGGAGAGAATGTTATGATAAATAATGCAAACAATAAGTCCGTGTAGTTTGTATAATGTAGGAGAGGAAGTCTCCATAAAAGTATATTGAAATGTAAAATACAGTATCTTAAAATGTGTAAAAGTTTTTCCCAATCGTCTCTGAGAAAATTGCAAAAACATTTCAACGAAAAGGTTATCAGTTAGCTTTCGTTCCTCAAAACAAAACGTTAATTATTTAAAATCACTTAAGTGTCGGAAAACTAATGAAGATAAAGACGAAATTTATCAAATCAGTTGTAGTATGGTAAAATGTACGTAGGACAAACAAGGAGGAAATTAAAGCTAACATTCAAAGAATATCAGTATATGAAATATGGCAGTACTTTACTAACAGCTGTAGATGAACATTTCTGGAATTATCGGGGTGAATGTAATTAGAAGAATGTGAAAAAGTAAGAAGTGCAAAAACAAACATAGAAAGAAACTTAAGAAAAAGCATTTGCATAATTAAAAACAGATTTGTGTGTATAAATATAAACAACGGACCAATTAACGTTTCCTATTGGAAATCTGTTTGTCTTGAGAAATCTTGGTTTGGTTGTTGTTAAGCGCAAAGCTACACAATAGGCTATCTGTGCTTTGCTCACCATAGGTATCGAAACCAGGTTTTCATCGTCATAAGCCAGCATACTTACCACTGATACACTGGGATGGAGGAGGGGGGTTGAGAAGTCTGTCAGAATATTGTTGGCTCATCCTTCTCCCCTACTTGTTACTTCAAATAAACTTCTACGTTTAACGATTGGAGTTTAAAATAGGCTATGTAAACACTTTGCTCACAGCACTGATGATGGTGACTGTGTTACAGAAACTAGTCGGTTTAAGTAAGTAATAAGATTTATGTTTCATTATATTAAAAAGCGTCGATTTCTTCTTTATATTTATCTACACGCTATAATAGTACAATGTATCTAAAACGAAAATATGTTTAAATCATCTATATAAATACTATATTCTTCACTGCTTGAAGCAACTTATTGTTATAAACACTACATTCCTCACTGTTTGTAACAGCTGAACTCTCTAACTACTGCATACTTACCTGCTTAAAGCATCTATCTAAATACTGTATTCTTCACTACATGAAATAACTAATCGTTATAAACACTGCATTCTTCACTGTTTGTAACAGCTGAACTCTCTAACTACTGCATACTTACCTGCTTAAAGCATCTATCTAAATACTGTGTTCTTCACTACATGAAATAACTAATCGTTATAAACACTGCATTCCTCACTGTTTGTAACAGCTGAACTCTCTAACTACTGCATACTTACCTGCTTAAAGCATTTATCTAAATACTGTATTCTTCACTACATGAAATAACTAATCGTTATAAACACTGATTTATTCGTTTGCAGAAACTAAAATCTCTCCTAATGTTGAACATCTGTAGCTTAAAAATCGTTATATTAATTTATTTTGAATGCCTAAAATTAAAGAGTTATTATATAGCTAGCACACTTGTCAATGTTATAAGCTGGATTTTATTTGAATTTAAGCACTGAGAAACTTTTACCCACAACGTGGTTGGGATATTATTTAGCAGCTAGTTCATCACTAAATAACGTTCACTTACCTGTTAATTATCTCTTAGATTGCTTCTATGATCTGATTAGGGCGAATCCAAGCGAAACTAAATAGTAAAATTAAAAACCACAACATTAGGTATTACATTTTAACCTTTATTTTATAAAAGTCATTTTGATTCTCATCAGGGTTTCTACGAAAGCTTTCGATGATTTTTTTATAAGTGAAAAAGAATTAGACGTAACGAACTGTAACCTCATGATTGTTAACCAATGTTATTATGGATTATAGATTGCTAGTTAAAAGACCAAAGGACTTGTTGTTTATTGCCTAGAGAAAGAAAGGCTACGAAACAGCAGTATATGAAGCTCCACAATTAAGAGAATTTCACGTTTTTGTACATAAATGTTCATTCAAATATAAAGAGAATAATTTTTCGTGGGATTTATCAAATTCGTATTCTTCAAGTAAGAATAACATTTAAAGGTGATGTTGTAAAAGTTTTAGATAAAATATCTCATCGGAATCTAATCGAAATAAACGTGCCTCATATAATGCCTTTAGGTAGACACTCAAAATGAAATGCCGAAAAGTTTCAGCTAAGTCCAGATTATACGATGAGATTTTTAAAGGTATATTGAATGTAATGCGGAATTTTAACCAATGGTATATATTTTCTGAAAAAAAAAATATATATATGTATAATCTGGACTTAGCTGAAACTTATTCGGCATTTCATTTTGAGTGTCTACCTAAAGGCATTATATGAGGCACGTTTATTTCGATTAGATTCCGATGAGATTTTTAAAGGTATGTTGAATGTAATGCGGGATTTTAACCAATGGTATATATTTTCTGAAAAAAAAATATATAAACACAGCTTGAAACTACGCTTCTCTTCTGGTTATGTTACGGATTATATTTTCTATTGTGTTAAAAATAAGTTATTTTTCCAATACTTCACACCACAAAGTGATGAAAACATCAATTTAGATCTATACCAGACAGCTTGAAAACACATTTCAAAGGAGTTAATATAAAGGCGAGTATATAAGCAAAATATCCGAACTGAGAAATGTTCTTGGATAAAAAGTTTCACTAAATTCCTAACGTCGACTTAAATGAAACGATAAAAAAGTGATATTGCTGGAAATATCAGTCTATAACAAAGTGCGACGTGAATTATGTTACTTAATGTGAGCTGGCATGTTTCGTATTGCAGTTTCATTAGTGGATTATGTTCACATTCCAGAAGAATGTTGACGTAAAATTATACATTTTTAGAAATACATTTTTTCTTGTGATATTAGCTTCATGCGCAAACAGTATTTAGTATTTTGACCCCGAAAGAACTGAGCTACAATATACTATTATGAGTCGTATAGTGAAATAAAAATTTCAAAGAATTACTTAGTTGGAGGTGAGCAACGAAACTAACTTTACGACCAGTATTTCTCTATATAAAGCACATAAACCTGTGTCTGCCTGTTTATCCTTTATCTAACTACTCCTAAGTCGTTGGGCAAATCTGGTGGGATGATAATGTGGAACAAGAGGCAGTTATCCGCTTCCAATTATTGCTGTTATTAAGCATTTATTATCTTTGACGTAAATTAGCGATAACTACATTCATATATGATCCCACGTAGGACACACAAAAAAAATGAAATTTTCTATTCAACAACATAAACACAGTGGGTGAAGGCACTCAAAGGTTTTATATGTCTCAGAGAGTGCCACAGTGCTCTCTGTGGAGGAAAGCAATGAAAAAATTGCCACCACTATTGCAATACTACATAAACTCAGTTGAAATTTCTACTCCAACAGTCACCATAAGGCTGATACAAAGAGTCGTTACTTAAGTTATATCCACTTCTTACTTTGACTCGTGACCTTACAACTTCATCCCATAAGACACTTCTACGGCCAATAGTCGTCGATTAATTAATCACGTGAAACACTGTAGAAGGAAATTAAGAGGTGGGTGTTGAAAGCGAGTAACAGAAAGCACCCCTACCGCCATTGCTATTGCTGTTACCTCTTCCTACAAAGTCACATTTACCATTACACAGTGTATACCATGTTTTAAGTATATACCTATTGAGTTCTTAAAGCTTATACAAAACTTTTGGTGAGGTAATAATGAATACTGTAATAATATCTTATGTTATAAATAAATTGTGTGAAAGTTAGGATTTTTGTGTTATTTATCATAGTAGCCACTCCCACATTGTCTTAAGTTCACAACATAGACAAAGGATGGGTACCTCAGCTTGCGGGTTAATAAATGATGCACTGTAAAACAGGAGAAATTAATCGAATATACATACACGTATGAAATATCTTTTAAGCATTCTCAGGTAAAGGTTGAGGATTTTATATCAGATAGCTGCTGGTTGCTTCAACCAGATAATCAGTATTCGCTGGTTAAAAATTAAATTAAATGCTAAGATATGTCAAATATTTAATTTTTAGGATATGATATCACTCATTGCACAAATTCTTCTGGTTTTGCTAGCCTTTATGGTTTTGTTGAAGGAAGCCCACTAAATGCAAGTTACGCCCTATAAAACTTGCATTAACTTATATGAATTATTGTTATTTCTTAGTGCAAAGCTACATTATAAGCTATCTGCACTCTGTTTACCGCAGGGATTCGAACCCCGGATTTTAGCATTGCAAGTCCATAAATTTGTGCTCTCATATCAGAGGACCTTATGCGAGCTAAAATGATTTCTTTGGAACAAAGCAGATAATTAACTGATCACATTATTACATTTTTGAATATTAAAACAATCTGAGTGAGTTAAAACCCTCCTAACATATTTATCATAAGTAACATATTACACTGTTTACAATCTCTCCTAAACAAGTCTGTTTACTTGTCCGCTTATAACTGGCGAACCGAAAGACTGGATATTGTCAAACCTGGCATGCACCCTTAAGACCCTCCGGGGAGTGACTAAGAGATCGGCGTTCGGTTCTGACCCTCTATTTCACACCAGGGGCCCGTATGTCCTTTACGTGTGTTGAATGGGTCCAGTCAGTGTGCTTAAACATATTGTTTGAAATATTGTTGTTATTCTCAACCGAAGTTATGTATTTGATGAAAAAATAAACTTATCGTTTACTAGAATCATCGTGCCTCTTGGATCTTCCAAATATGATAACTAGAACCATCGTGCCACTGGGATCTTCCAAATATGATCACTAGAATCATCGTGCCAGTGGGATCTTCCAAATATGATCACTAGAATTATCGTGCCACTTAGATCTTCCAAATATGATCACTAGAACCATCGTGCCACTTGGATCTTTCAAATATGATAACTAGAACCATCGTGCCACTGGGATCTTCCAAACATGATCACTAGAATCATCGTGCCAATGGGACCTTCCAAATATGATTTTATAATTTGTTTTACGAAATTTAGTTTTTGTTTTTTAGATAACATATAAAAACTATATATATTACAGTAACTTACAGACTATCTTAAATCTATCATCGATAACTGGAAATCTGCTACGATGTATCAAGTTATTTTGACAACATGTGTTCATGTGAGCGATCATTTGTAGCGCTGAAACTCGTTAAAAACAACTCAGCCGGCAATTATCATACAGAAACGATTAAGTGACCTCGTTGTGCTAGCTAAGGCCGACGCATTAAGTAACTTCAACTTGACAAACAACTCAGCGGATAATAATGGCATAGGAATGGTTAAGTAATCTCGTGTTGCTAGCTGTAGCTGACACATTTAATAAACACAACTTGACAAACAATTCAGTGGATAATAACTATATAAAAATGATTATGTCACCTCTTGTTGCTAGCTGAGTCTGACACATTAAATAGGTCCAACTTGACAAACAACTCAACGGATAAGGATGATATATAAATTATTAAGTAACCTTGTATTGCTATCTGAGGCTAACGCGCTAAATAAATCCATCTCGATAAAAAAAAAAAACTCAGCGAATAATGACGATACAGATACTGTTGAGTATCCTTATATTGCTAACTGAGCAACTTTGTAAAAGATCACCGCTGAGATAACGATATTTATGTGTTACTCCACAATGACATACCAGTAATTGCTTAACAATAATATGGTTCGAGTTTAGTGTAATCAAAGTACAGAGGTAGAGAATGAAATACGAATTTATATAACCAGCAAGAAATTTTAATCCCCCCCCCCAAGAAGAAAATAACCAACAAAAAACAACAAAAACTACTCATCTGTTTTGGATTTGTCATATGCCTCTGAGCTAAGCAGTTTCACGACACAAACAAACCACAGAATAAGCACATACCTCTTGTGGTGTGGAACTGCATCTAGATATATAGTGTTTGCAATGTATTTTATCAACTACATTAGAATAGGCAAAAACTTCTTCTTCGTAACGACCTTAATCCCAACTAGTTTGTAAACCAAGAATACAGATGGCAACCATATAGGACGAGCATGTTAAGCGACTGTAATGGGAACTCGCAACTCTCAGATTGTGAGTAGAATGCCCTAACCACCAGGTCATGCCAGGCTCTGAATAATAGACAAAAACTGTTGTTAATTAAATATCTTATATTGTTCAGCAGATATACTGTATGAAAGATTTAGGTTTTTTTTTTCTCATCAACAGAATTCAGCATTCTGTAGACAAAAAAAAAAAAGAGAGAGAGAGGTTCATTATATCTTAGGATTTATCATATGACACTAGTAGTAAAAGTTATTATAATATACAAATAGGCTATTAACCATCTACATGTTATAAAGAACTCTGCATATTTTTTATAAACATGACCAATGGAAGATTCATCTTTGACAGGAAACTAAAGGTACAAAACGTGTAATAATATGTAAGTACCAGCAATACGATATAGAACTGTAGATTACTTAAATTCACGCGCTAAAAAACCACCCTATCGAATTCCTAAGCGAAAAACCAACCATTCAAAGTATTGGTTACGATATATACTAATAATACGCTAAAAAAGGTCGCTAACATTTCAGGTATAACAATTCAAAAATTTCTAAAACAGCAACTTTCTCGTCTACTACCTACCTAATCACGTCAGCGGGGTTAGCACCTAGACGGCTCGGACTA